TCTTTCACAGCGAATCAAACAAAACAGCAGAAGGCACATGTGCTTTAGGTACAAGGTCGCATTTTGCTTTTTATATTGAGCGCCCGCTGCCAGTATGGTGACACATCACACACGTCTGGGCAATAGAATTCGGTTTCCAGGCAGCCATGGTAAGCCAAAGGGTACGCAGGTTTGGCTTCTAACACCTTCATAACATGTGGGAATGTTTTCAAACTGCAGCACCCTCCTTTCCCAGAGCAAGCAATGGGTTGGGTTTCACATTTTAAAGGAGGGGCTGTGGTTTTCGGGTGGATGTGCAGCACACACCTATCTCCACCCCACCGCGTGGCTATTCTCTGGGATGATCCCTTTTAGCCAGGCGCAAACAGCCCAGCATGAACAGGGTCCTTTTTCTGTTCCCTTACAAAAATTCTCCTATTTCAACCAGGTGACCATGAACGATATCACTGTACTGAGGCACAGAAAGATATAGACTGAATGTTGCTTGAATGCGACCAAAACCCAGGACCATTCGCAGCCAAACTTTGTGCTCCAATGATTCCAGAATACTTGCTACTGGCTTGGTGTGGTAAAGTGTCCTACCGTGGAGGATGAAATAAGGCAGCCCTCCCCAGAAACCTTCTGCAAAGGCTTTCAGAGTACCTCCAGGAGAGCTTCACAGAGATGTCCCTGGAGGATTCCTGCTCCATCCCCAGACATGTGAACAGACCTTTCCAGTAGCTGTACTGGCCGCGAACGTATCCCAGTTCTTCAGGGCAAATCAAACATTAAACACTATTGCTTTTAAACCCTGAACTGTAGTTACAAATGTGCACTCACCGGAGGGGCCTTCTCCAGCTTCAGGGTCGGGGCTCCCACCTTGGGAGGGTATTGGCTCCAGGGTGATGAAAAGTTCCTGGCTGCCTGGGAGAACGGATTCACCGCTTGCCTGCTGCACATTCTCCTCCTCCTCCTCTTCCTCATCCACAAAATCCTTCTCCCTGTTACGTGAGACTCCCCCCTTGCAGGTGTCCACGGACAGTGGTGGGATAGTGGTAGGGTCCCCACCTAGAATGCCATGCAGCTGGTCATAGAAGCGGCATGTATGGGGCTCTGACCCAGAACAACCGTTTGCCTCCTTTGTCTTTTGGTAGGCTTGCCTGAGCTCCTTAACTTTCACACGGCACTGCTGCGTGTCCCTGTTGTAGCTTCTGTCCAACATGCCCTGGGAGATTTTGGCAAATATATTTGCATTTCTTCTTTTTGGTCGGCGTTCAGCCTGCACAGATGCTTCTCCCCATACAGCAATCAGATCCAGTGTCTCCTGTTCGCTCCATGCTGGAGCTCGTTTACGATTCTGGGGGGACTGCATGGTCACCTGTGCTGCTGAGCTCACCACGCTGACCAAACAGGAAATGAAATTCAAAAGTTCCTGGGGCTTTTCCTGGGTACCTGGCTAGTGCATTGGAGTTCAAAGTGCTGTCCAGAGCGGTCACAATGGAGCACTCTGGGATAGCTCCTGGAGGCCAATACCGTCGATTTGTGCCCTCACTACCCCAAATTCGACCCAGCAAGGTTGATTTTAGCGCTATTCCCCTCACCGGGGAGGAGTACAGAAGTCGATTTTAAGAGCCCTTTAGGTTGACGGAACGGGGTTGGTTGTGTGGACGCAGTCATTTTTAAATCGACCTAACGCGGCTAAATTCGACCTAACCCTGTAGCGTAGACCAGGCTTTTGAGAGATGCTATTTTAACATAGTTTTCTGCTGAAGAGATTTGTTTCTCTCTTGATTATTGTTGGTATAGCAAGTAAACCATTTTGTCTGTGTTTTCAGAGTTCTCAAGGACAATGACTTAAGCAAACTGCAGAAAGATTCACTCGAGGGCTTGCTGTCGCTAAAGCACCTGTACGTGTTTATTTCTAGTAGTACTTAATTTACAGTATAATTGACAAACTGCTATTTGTTCTTGAATCCCTTGCTGCTGTTGACAGTGCTCCTTTGGGTTATTTTAAAGCAATTAATGGTTTTAAAGCTGGGATCTTGGGGACAACTCAGGTCTGGTCTTCTACACTACACAGTTAGGTCAATGTAAGGCAGAGTACGTCAACCTAAGTATGTCATTGTACACACTACAGCCTTGCTACCACTGACGTACAGGGCTGCCCAGAGGGGGGGGGGGCAAGTGGGGCAATTTGCCCCAGGCCCCGGGCCCCACAGGGGCCCCCACGAGAATATAGTATTCTATAGTATTACAACTTTTTTTATGGAAGGGGCTCCCGAAATTGCTTTGCCCCGGGCCCCCTGAATCCTCTGGGCAGCCCTGTTGATGTAAGTGCCATACTACATTGACATCATAACTCCACCTCCATGAAAGGCATAAGGCTTATGTTGGTGTAGTTAGGGTGAGGCCGTGTCTGTGTAGACACTGCGTTACTTACATGGGCTGTTGGCTGTCTTGTCAATTTCACGACTCCATGCTGGAGCTGTAAAATTGACAAGAAAACCTGGCAGCTAGAGACTGGCTCCTCTTCCCAGATGGGCTCCAGCCTGGCTGCCTCCCTCACCCCTGTTCCCAGCCTGCCATCCTGGAGGCGAGAAGCCCAGGTGGGAGCGGGGAGCCGATAGCCCAGCAGGGAGCTGCACAGAGCTGAGAGCCCTGGCTCTCAGCCCCCCACACTGCCCCTCCTCAGTCGGGGGAGGCGCTCCTGATGAGGATGTGCACCACTGATAGAAGGAGGGTTGTGTGGACATCAGCCACATCAGTAATTACTGCAGTGGCTGTAAATCGACCTAATATATGTCAGTAGGCTTTGTGTAGACATGCCCTCATAACAGAGACAATGCTGGGTTTCAGCAGCATCTGCCTTGTTTTACAGAATTTTATTTCTCTTCTCTATTTCAGTCCATTTGCCTGAGGCTATATCTTCATTGCAAAAACAGGTGTTTTTATGTCAAGATAACTAAATCGCAATAGCTATCCTGATGTAAATTCTTAGTGGAGACAAGATACAGTAGCTTTTAACTCGCTGTAGCTGAGGACAATCCCAGATGAGCAGTATAGGGTTGATCTCAACTAGCTACAGTTAAGGTAAAAACAGCTACATCAAGGGGAAAACTGCCTGTGCCTTGTCTTCACTGGGGTTTTACATGGAGAGAGCTATTTTGCAGTGAAGATAAAGCCTGAGCTTAGGATCTTATCTACTTTCCAGCTCATCTGCTCCAGCTGTTTACTCTGCTCCTGGGATCCTGAACGGTTTCAACAGCAAGCAGATGCAAAGTCAAAGACAGGGACCTATAGTGTCCCTTCCCATGTGAAAGGCTGCAGGAGAGATGTTTTTGTGAGGAAATCTCCATGGAGATTTGCCCACATTGTCCTACTGGAGGGAGTGGGTTTGCTCTTCCCAAACATGGCATTCCCAAGGGAAATATGGCAGATCAGGGCTCTGCAGGAGGTCTGTCTTATTTGATCAATTATTTCAAGGCGTGCGCGATCCTTGATTCATTTGGGGGATTTTTATGCTGTCTTGGCAAATAATGAAGATACTATATTAATTTTTTCCCCATTTTTCTTTTAAAAAAAACATCTAGGAAATTTCACACAAAAATTCTTGTTAAAAACACGTGAGGGTTTGTGACAGAGTGGTCTGTCTCTTTAAAAACTTTTTTGAGGTGGGAGGGTTTTTTCCTTTCAGATTCAATTTTTTTCCCATGCTGGGTTTTCCTGTGTTGTGTAGTATGAGTGAATGAACATGATACCAGTGAAGTATAAAGGTAGCAAATTTGGCTTTTGTTTACTTTTTTCTTTTGGTTAATTACTGCAGCACTCCCTCTTCCTTGGACCCTTCCCAGAATACTAGGAAAAGAACAAATAGGCAAATACATATTCCTCTCTAAAAGCTACTGTTGGTGGTTGCCAGGCTGCTAATGACCAGAAGAGCTATATTAGCCAAGCACAGCCAGATTAACAGGTGCACCAGTTTAGCAAATAGGTACCTGAGGCCTTAGGGGAGAAAAAACAAAAACCTCTGAAGAAGGCGGCGGCTTACTAACTTGGAGTAGGTTCAGGACTCTAATATTACTTTGTGTTCAGATCCTTATGTTGTTATTTATAGTCATCTTTACTGAGTGTGGACTTGGTATTTTTGTTTCTTTTCCCATTGAGGGGAGTCTATTTTATTTTACCTTGACTGGTCTGGAGCGCTTTTCTTTTTTTTTTAAATAAGTGACACACACACTTGGTCTCTAGGACATATGTGTCAGCTGTGGGATGTGGTTTAGATGCCAAATTTGGGCATGGATGGGAAACAAACAGTCTCTTAAAGAGATAGACCACCCTGTCACAAGCTTGAAAACTGAAGCACTCCAAAGTCAGCAGATGCCACATTTAAGATTGCACATGTAAAAGATATGCATGTAAATGGGCTTGTTCTAAATTTGACATTCAACTAAATTAACCACAAGCCACCCTTTCTCTTACTGCAGTTGCCTGCTTGCTCACTACACACCTTCCAACATCTGCAGCCATAGGCGCCGATTCCATGGGTGCTCCGGGGATCAAGCACCCACCAAAAAAAATAGGGGGTGCTCAGCACTTGCAGGGTGGGATTAATCTTTTGTGAGGGGCCCCCCTGCTCCACCCCTGCTTGGCCTCTTCTGCCCCCTCCCCCCCTGAGGCCCTGCCTGACTCTTGCATGGGGGAAGTGGGGGGAGAGGAGCACCCACCAGTAAAAACACCAGCAAAACAAAAGTCAGCACCTGTGTCTGCAGCGAATGAGGTATGGGTCCTACAGGCAACAGCCTCATTCACTACACAACCCTGATTGTTCACTGGCACTATCCATCCTGTGCACTGAATGACATGATCCTATAGAAAAAAAACTGATCATGTAATTAAAGACAAACATAATGCATATGCACCAGGACGCAGAACTAAGGTTCACAGGCAACCTTAATTCTGGTATTTTCAAACTTTCGAGTTTGAAACCTCAGTAGCATTCTTTTAACATAATTTATTGTATATAGTATCCGATGTTTTTAAAAGAGAAAATATAATCTTTATCACTTGCAACAATAGCAACTCCCAAGGTGAGTCCACTATGCCTGAGAGAGGAGGCACTGTTCATCACATTATGCCTGGCTTCAACAAGCAGGGAAAGAAAGAAGAGGGGACGTTGTGTGATTGGAGTCCCTTCATGTAACTCCTGTCCACATAATTGCCAAGAGTCACTTGCTACTCATTGGTGTGATGATTAAGAAGTGCCAGCCTATGCCCCTTTAAAGGCATTGTCTATTCCCATGGAGGAAGGTCAAACTTTAAATCATTTGTGTATTGGAAGCCAATGAGGTCACTGAGATCAGAGCAAAATAGAAATAATTGAACTGAAATAGTGATGAATAAGATCCTTAATAGAGCTGTGCAAATACCTTTTCTATTTTCTGGCCAAACTGAAAAATGGGGTGAGGGTGGGGGTGGGGTGGGAGAATCACTTCAAGTTGGCCTGAAAATAAATTTTTTCAAAATTTTCGGCAAACTGAACAAATTTTGTTCACACTAAAACAAAACATTGTTTCATTTTTGAGATTAGCCTTTTTAAAAATAACATTGAGGTACAATTCAAACAAAAAGTCATTTTGAACTAGAAAAAATGTTTCGGTCAACCCAAATTTGCATTTTTCAGCCGAAAAAAGTTTCAGATAAAAACTTTCACTCAAGTCTAGTCCTTGAAACCTGGTTGCTTTAAGTCACATGGGTTTTCAGCAATTATGCATTCATGCAAGCTGATATTGAATAGAAATTCCCAATGAAATCATAACTACATGTAATCTTTGCCGTTTGTGTCAAGGCGAATGAAAGTAAATGATGTTCAAGTGTGATTAATATTTCCATAATCTCAATTTGTTATTTTAACAGGGATTTATCCTGCAACAAAATCCTGTTTATTGAGAAACATGCATTTGAGCCTCTACCTTTTTTGCAGTATATGTAAGTTATAAAAATGACTTTATAGTGTTCTGTATAGTAAGCAATGTTTACTGAAGTCTGTCTACATCTATGTAACCTGTCTAGTGGTAGAATCAATTCTAGTGGTAGTATTTTGTCCCAATTAGCTTTATAAGTGTGACTAAAGTTATACTACTAGAAGACAGACTGATATATAGCTAGAGAGACACCTATAGGTGGTTGTCCATATACAGATTTAGCTGAGGTTGTTTCTTAAAGGTTTACTATATCCTGGAACAGAAAGAGATTAACCACATGTGCATTTCACTTCCTCTATTTGACAAGCTAAACAAATGCAGAATGTAATAGAATTTCCTCACTAATCCACCTGGGATTTGCATATTCCCTACCAATCAAAATTGCTAACTACTAAATTCCTATCCAACAGGCTGGATTTATTTCTACAATTGTTTCTTTTCCCAGAAACCTTGGCGGTAATCTCATTACAGAGCTTCGTTACGGGACATTCCAGGCCTGGCATGGGATGCAGTTTTTGCAGAAATTGTAAGTGTAAGATTGAGATTATTTGAGGGTGGGTTCTTTTTACAGGATCTTTGGTTCTCCAATGGCGTTCCTCACAACATGGCTCTGCACACTGCCAGACTCATGTGAGACAGCACAGGAAGCTCCTAGCAAACCTGCTGTGGGGGGTGGGCACTGCCTAAGGTTGTGCCAGTGCCAGGTGGGAGAGCAGAAGAAGGAAAAGGGTGCTCACGAGAAGATAGGGAGGATGGAGGGATAGAGAAAAAATCCCCTCCCTCTCGAAAACCACGAGAGAGCAATAGCCGCTCCCTAGGAGACGAGTTGCAGAAGGACCACCAGTCTCAGGGCCTTCAGCCCTTGCCTACAGCAGGAGCATTTATTTCATAGGCCTCAGCACCTGGGGGCAGGTCAATGTTTAAGGCCTCAGTCTGGATGGCTGAAGCCCAAGAACGTGTTGAGCTCAGCTCATTCTCAGAAAGAGCATTAGTGCAGTGCAGAGTGACTTTATACTCTGCAGTGGCTGCCACAGGCTGCGCAGCTCCCCTGTAACAAGGGTGAAGGGCTGACTGTAGCCCCAACCTCCACACAACAGCAGAGGGCAAGAGAAGCTTGGAGGTGGCCAAGGAAGAATGAGGAGAGTCAGTGTGGAAAGATGGAGAATGTGACCCAGATGTCAAAAGCTGCAGGGCAGCCGGCCACCCCAACAGCCCTGGGAAGTGATAGAGGGCCCAAGTGGCTAAGTGGGGGGAGCAAGGAGGGAGTGGAGACAGGCCAGAGGCTGAGGGAAGCTGAAGGTGTAGGGCGGCTTGGAAATGTTCCATCAAAATGTTTTTTCAACAGGAAATTGGGTTTTTGACTGAAAGAAATTTTCAAGAAAAGTGTCTGCTTTCCTCAAAATTCCAGTATTTCGTCAGAAAACCAAAAATATGTGGCCAAAACAAAAAAAAATCTATTTTCAACAGCTTTGGGCCAAAACTTTTCATTTTTGTGGTCTTCGGATTTTCAATAAAAAGTCCATTTTTTCCACAGAAAACGTCAATGAAAACAAATATTTATGTTTCACTGAAATTTTTTGTGGAAAAGCCGCCTCCAATTTTCCAACCAGCTCTACAAAGCAGCATTTTTAAAAGCAAAGAGAGCAGTTTTGAACTGTATCCTGAAATAAGCAGAGAGCCATTGGACTTTGAAGACTGAGCATGATGAAGCCAAGGTTGATATGTACAAGGGGGTAGGCTACAGCTTTCTGCTTTCATTGGAGACTGCAAAGCCGGAACGTTAAGTGTTGCAATAAATCAGATGGAGGTGTGGAGGACAATTCCAGTAGATGTATGGCATACTTGGGGGACAGGCAGGTTTACAAACTGGGGAAATGGGGGAAGACAGAGAGTTCAGAGTCAAAGATGACATTAAAGTCATGGATGATGGACGCAAATGAGCTGAGGAGGAAAATAGAAGAATGGTATTTTCCAGGAGAAGCATTTTGTTTTTTAGATCTTTAGCTGAATATACCCAGGGCCAATGTTCCCTCTAATTTTTCCCATCCATGTGCAGAATGAATTTTGCTATGTGCACCAATATGGAGGTGATGTGTGGCAAGGATGGGGCTGAGGAGTTTGGAGTGTGGGAAGGGGTTCAGGGCTGGAGCAGAGGGTTGAGGTGTGGGGGGTGAGGGCTCCAGCTGGGGGTGCAGGCTCTGGAGTGTGGCCGGGGATGAGAGGTTTGGGATGTGGGCTCTGGGGTGGGGCAGGGGAGACAGGACTCCACCCAGCCCTCTCTCCCCACACTAGCGCCTGGGCTGGGGCTGGGGGAGAGGTGCCTCTCCCCGCCTAATTTCACTCTAAGCTGTGCGGCCATGCAGCAGGCTATAAAGGGCCGTGCAGCCACAGGAGCCTGGAGAGGAGAGAGGTAGGGGGTGGACAGGGACTGGGGAGGGGAGCAAGTTGCGACATGCAGGGCTGCTGCGGGCCTCTCCCCCAGCCCTGGAGCTCCATGCTGCAGGTGGGGGGGGGGGTCCCTCTCCTAGAGCTCACTGCTGCCAGCGGGGAGAGCGGGGCCCCTTCCCCAGAGTTCACTGCTGCCAGCAGGGGGAGGGCTAGGGGGAGTCCTCTGGCCCCAGCCCCGGGGCAGCCTGCACCCCAAACTCCTCATCCCCGGCCCCACCCCACAGTCTGCACCCCCAGCTGGAGTCTTCACCCCCCCACACACACACATTCCAATGCTCTGCCCAAGCCCTTGAGCCCTCTCCCACACCCTGAACCCCTCATCCCCAGCCCCACCCCAGAGCCATCACCCCCAGCCAGAGCACTCACACACACCCCGCACTCCAACCCTCTGCCCCAGCCCTGAGCCCCCTCCCACACTCCAAACCCCTTGGCCCCACCCCCACCACACATCACCTCCATATCGGTGCACATAACAAAATTCATTCCGCACATTAGAGGGAACATTCCTCCCCACCACAGCAGCTCTGGGGCTTGGGCTGGGGCCGGGGCCAGGAGAGAGGCGACTCTCCCCGCTAGAGCAACTCTGGGGCTGGGGGAGTCCTCCTCTCTCCCTGCCACAGCCCCAGGGCTGGGAGGGAGAGGAGTGTCTCCTCCCCGCACCGCAGCCCTTGGTGGACTCCTGCGTGGCTGTGCAAGCGGGAACTTAGGCCAGGGCCCTGTGTCTTTCCTGATTCTGCATCTGTGAATTCCCTCCCAAAGTCATGCCTTACTGCAGAATTGGATTCCAGCTTTTAAATGTTCATCCGAAAGCCTGCCTCGGATGCTTAGAACTTAGACAAACTTTTATCTTTCAGGCTGAAATGTGCCAGATTGGTTCTCAGCTTGAGAGTGAATTCTTTGGGGAAATCTGAGCAAAAACCATGCAGCCATTTTTGAATATAAAAACCATGAAAAAAACCCACTTCTGCCATTCATACATATGGGCCTTGTTCTCATTGACTCCTTTACATCGCACTGGCAGCATAAAGGAGCATTTACATAGGGCCTTAATCTACATCAGAATCAGGTCCAATGTGCACAACAGTTTTTGGACAGCTCTAATATTCAATGGTTAGAAACTTGCCCTCTAGCAGGAAGGAAGTCCCAGGTCCCAGATGTGCCTCTCAGGGGGTCCAGTAGAAATTCACTGTGATTTGGGTGAGTTATTGGGTTTGAAAAGCACCATTGCCTTTGTCCTACGTTGAGCTTTTACTATCTCCTACTGCACATCTCATGGGACCTGAGTGGATTTTTGGTTTCCAGGCACATGGATTTGTGTATCCGGGGGAGGGATGCACATATATGCAGTCTTCCTACACACACACACACCATGCAGGCTACTGCCTATGACACAAACACATACCATTTGTAGGCACCCATATATAAGCTAGGCAAGCATAAAGCACATGTACACATGCGCCACACACACTATAGCTGCCAGCGCATGTGCACCATGCTCCCCGCACGGTCTCAGCTTCAGCCCTGGGGTTTATCTGTGCAGAGTGGACATGCTGAGGGCACTGAGCGCTCAGGCCTTCTTGGCCAACAAGCAGGTGCACTTGGGTGCAGGCCGCTGACCTTTGCTCTAAGGTTTGGAAGAAGCTCTTGCCTCACCCCTGCATTATTCTGGACAGAACTTGTTTGGGGAGCAGGGAGAAGCCAGCTGCACAAGACAAAGGAGACCAAGGCTATCCTGCCTTCTCCTGGATCAGGGTATTGCCTCTCCACTCCTGAGCACAGAAGAAGTCCTGCAAAGACACCGATCTTTGCTCTGGCTGGATTCAAGGTTGTTTCTTACTACCCCTCAAGGAACTCAGCCATAAAAGCAATCGCAGCAAAAGTCAAAGGGCCCTGACCCCACCCCACCCCCACCCCCCCACAGGCAGCCAAAAAAGGCCAAGATGTTTAGAAGTAGGTGGCTAGCGTTAAGTTCCAGGGTCCATAACTAGGCACCTAAACAAGTGGGTTGATTTCCCCAAGTGCTGAGTGCCCCCTGCTGCCCCTGGACCCAGTGATATTTTCATTTTCAGGCAAACGTACAGAAGAAACAAATAAGTAACAGAGGAAAAAGCCTGAGTAATGTGTATGAACATTGTTAGCCAACACACTTACTTTCCTAGCTCACTCAGCTCTGGTGCTGTTTCGTTGATTTTTCAGGGTCCTAAGCCATAATCCGTTGTCAATCATTGCTGACACATCATTTTTTGAATTGCCCTCACTGAAGTATCTGTAAGTATTGACTTGACTCAATGTTACCCTCATTTATAAAGCAGATCTTTGGCTCTGTTTCTCCACTCCCATGCATGGGACGGGCCCCCTAGCCCCTGTAGTCCTCAGAGCACAGGGGCTGGCACAAATAACACTGAAGGGAGCAGAGAGAGGTAGGGGCAGAGTCATTCCACTCCATCCCCACACAAGCCATGCTGTAAATGAATAGACTGGCCCAAAGAGATCAGATGGATCAGAGATCTTGCAGCTGAAGATGGTACTTCACAGCAGGTCTTGGAGATTAGGAGGTCAGTTCTGTACTGGACAGGAGGTCTCTGCAGAAGAGAATGCTGGTTTTTCTACTTGGGCTGATTGAAAGATAGGAGTCTGGGTGCTATTGACGATTCCAGAGGGTTAATATGAGGGGAAGTACAAACTGCTCTATGTGGTGGGTGGCTGATTAGTTTTGCCTTTAGTTTTGATTTCATACCAAGGTTCTTGATTGGCTACTGTTTTTGTATTGGCGCCCCCTTGTGTCAGTGCATTTTATGCCAGAAGTTCTGGTGATCATACTCTCCCCACATCACAGCCCCAAAGCACTGAGGGGGTACAAGGCAACAACTACCTTTCTGTTGTCCTTGGGTGATGATTACACTGAACATTTTCAGCTAGGGTGACCAGATGTCCCGATTTTATAGGGACAGTCCCGATTTTTGGGTCTTTTTCTTATATAGGCTCCTATTACCCCCCACCCCCGTCCCGATTTTTTCACATTTGCTGTCTGGTCACCCTATTTTCAGCTCCCACAATCCCACAGGCCAGGGATTCAGGCATCTTATTTGCAGAGGTTCTTTTATCTCTGGGATATCTACTTCCACTGCACAAACAGATCATGGGTTTCCATTCTGTGCATTTCTCCTGTTAACTGATATCATTTTGCTGTGGCTGTTGAGAGATGGCATCATACCAGTTGTTTGCTCTCACTGCATGGAACTTGATTCAGACAGTACAGGGAGTTCTTGGGAAAAGGTTATTGTTTATAAAATTATACCCGGGGGTTAGTAAAAACCATAATCTCACGTGTACAGCTCTGAATTTCTTGGCAGCCTCTGTCTATCTAAGATACTTAAATGGCCCCCACTACCATGATGTCTGCTCCCCTCACACTCTAACATATTTATCTGCACACCCTAGGAGATAGGACAGCACTGTTCTCCTCATTGTACAGAGGAGGCAGAGAGAGACTAAATGACTGCCACAGTCACGTACGGAGTCAGTGACAAAGCAAGGAACTGAACCTAGGTCTCCTCTGCTGGCATCCTAACCAATGAACCACCCTTCTTCCCATAGGCAAGGCTCTGTCACAATGGCATTTCTTATTCCTTTCTCAGTCGGCAGCACGCAGTATCCCGGAATAGAAACAGATTCATCATCTTCCTTTACTATTTTCAGAACTTTGTTCATTCATCTAGGATGTGTAGGAAACTGAAGCAATGGGTTTTCCTTCACTTTGGCCTATATTTTTTGTATTGCTCCATGCATGTGAGTCAGTGTCATTTTACTGCATATTTCTTATTTCATTCCCATGTGCAATGCTCCCAACCCCTTATCTATGGACTCCACACTTACAGCCAGGGGAGAGGGATCTTCATATCCACGAGGGTTGAGTGGAAAAGATTTGTACTTTGTGTTTCTGGGAGTTTCTGCGTTCAGATGGAACACAGTGTCACATGCAATAAAAGTCACATGGCCTTCATTTCTCACTCCATTCTGCTGATTCAAAGTCAGTCTTCTGGCTGGTTTCAGAGTTGTAGCATGTTAGTCTGTATCAGCAAAAACAACGAGGAATCCTTGTGGCACCTTTGAGACTAACAAATTTATTTGGGCATAAGCTTTCATGGACTAAAACCCACTTCATCAGATGCATGCAGTGGAAAATACAGTAGAGAGGTATAAATACAGGCTGTGTATCATAGGTCTAGTGACATTAGTGTGACAGATTCTCAGCTGCTCTAGCTCCACTGAAGACAGAGAAAGGGGGGAGGGATAGTTCAGTGGTTTGAGCATTGGCCTTCCAAACCCAGGGTTATGAGTTCAATTCTTGAGGAGGCCATTTAGGGGACTAGGGTAAAAATCCATCTGGGGATTGGTCCTGCTTTGAGTAGGGGGTTGGACTAGATGACCTCCTGAGGTCCCTTCTAACCCTATGATAACACAAGCCAATGGCTGGAACTTGAAGATAGACAAATTCAGACTGGAAATAAGGTGTACATTTTTGACAGTGAGAATAATTAACCGTTGGAACAATTTACCAAGGGTGGTGGGGGATTCTATAACCTGACAATTTTTAAATCCAGATTGGACGCTTTTCTAACAGACCACAGTCTAAATTAGGAGACAACGCTTAGTGATCTTTTCAACTGTCTCTTGGATAAAATACAGGCTGTTCTTTACATTTCTTATGGATTTTAGCGGTTGGGGTTGGCCATTCAGCTTGTGAGAGTGGATTTGGGAAAATCATTTCCTTCTCCTTTGCTTAGCTGTGAGAGAGCCCGCTGAGAGAGGAAGGGGGATCCTGGCAGTAAGGCCCTGCACTGGGTGGGATGTAGGAGACATCGCTTCTGTTCTCAGCTCTGCCACAGACTTCCTGTGGGAGGCTACACAAGTCACTTCCTCTCTCTGTGCCTCAGTTCCCCACCTGCTAATAGATCTGATACCTCTCCAGGGAGTTGGGTGGGTTTATTCAGTGGCATAGAGGAAGCACTCGGGTGCTATGGTGGCTGTTAGCCTCCACGTAGATAAAATAGCTGCTCTTCCTCCTCCTCCTCCTCAGACTTCCCCTCCTCCTGGGGTTTGAATTTGAGGCCTTCTCAGACACCTACACTACGAAATTAGGTCGAATTTATAGAAGCCGGTTTTATACAGTTGATTGTGTGTGTCCCCACATAAAATGCTCTAAGTGCATTAAGTCGGCGGACCGCGTCCACAGTACCGAGGCTAGCGTCGACTTCCGGAGCGTTGCACTGTGGGTAGCTATCCCACAGTTCCCGCAGTCTCCGCCACCCATTGGAATTCTGGGTTGAGATTCCAATGCCTGATGATGCAAAAACAGTGTCGCGGGGGTATCTGGGTACATGTCGTCAGGCCCCTCCCCCTCCGTCAGAGCAATGGCAGACAATCGATTTGCACCTTTTTACCTGGGTTACCTGTGCAGACAACATACCACGGCAAGCATGGAGCCTGCTCATCTCAGCTCAGCTCACCATCACCATATGTCATCTGGGTGCAGGCAGACGTGGTACTGCATTGCTACACAGCAGCAGCTAATTGCCTTTTGGCAGTAGACGGTGCAGTATGACTGGTAGCCGTCATCGGCTATCTGGGTGCTGGCAGACGTGGGGCTGCATTGCTACACAGCAGCAGCTCCTTACCTTTTGGCAGTGGATGGTGTATTACGAATGGTATCCGTCATCGTCGTATTCCTCAGTGAGTTCAATCAGAGGCACCTGGGCAGACATGTTTTGTCTCCTGGAGACTCAGTCCTGCCGGCAGTCCTATTGAACCGTCTTGACGATGATGGCTAGCAGTCATAATACAGCATTTTCTGCCAAGCACCCAGAAGATGCCGATGGCGATCAGTCATGCTGCACTGTCTGCTGCCAGCTTAAGAGGTAAAAAATAGATGGACCAGATTTGTTCTGTATTCATTTGCTTCCCCCTCCCTCCGTGAAATCAACGGCCTGCTAAACCCAGGGTTTTGAGTTCAATCTTTTGGGGGGCCATTCTGTGTGACAGTTGTCTGTGTTTCTCCCTGATGCACAGCCACCTTTGTTGATTTTAATTCCCTGTACCTGTAAGCCATGTCATCACTCGCCCCTCCCTCCCTCCGTCAGACACTAGTTTCGTGCCTTTTTTCAGCCCAGACGCCATAGCACTGGGATCATGGAGCCCGCTCAGATCACTGCAGCAATTATGAGCACTATGAACACCACGCGCATTGTCCTGGAGTATATGCAGAGCCAGGACATGCCAAAGCAAAACCAGGACCAGCTGAGGAGGCGATTGCAGTGCGGCGATGAGAGTGATGAGGAAATTGACATGGACATAGACCTCTCACAAAGTACAGGCCCCAGCAATGTGCAAATCATGGTGTTACTGGGGCAGGTTCATGCCGTGGAACGCCGATTCTGGGCCCGGGAAACAAGCACAGACTGGTGGGACCGCATCGTGTTGCAGGTGTGACACGATTCCCAGTGGCTGCGAAACTTTCGCATGCGTAAGGG